CCTCCAGGAAACCCATCAGGCTCTGCCCCCTCCAAGTGCTTTGCCCCCATTTCTCTCCCTACTCACAATTCCCACCTGGAAACTCCCTCCAAGGGAATTCCAAAGCCAGTACCGGGATGCAGACCCCACAACACCCCTGGATCAGCCCCCTCAGCCACACCTTGGCTTTTGGGGGGCTCCAACTCCTGCCAGAACACTGCCAGGAAAATCCAACATCCCATCCCATCCCATCCCATCCCATCCCATCCCATCCCATCCCATCCCATCCCATCCCATCCCACACACCCAAACCCCACCCCAGACACAGAACTTTGGGTTCCTTGCACAGGAAGGGAGATCAATCCATTGTTTTCTCCACAGGTGAGGTGGATTTTGCCATTGGAGCAGGAAATCCTCAGGCAGGGCAGCGAGAGGCTTTGGATCCCGCTGCATTTCCACCTGAATATTCCCAGGAAACAGGCCTGGATTCGAAATGAAGGCGGCAAAAACCGGTTCATTTTTTCCCAAAAAGCAGTGGGAGAGGACGAGGGGGCATCACAGCTCTTTTTATCCCAGCTGTTGATGAGCAGCTCCTTGGACGTGAGCAGGGAATTGGGATCATGGAATGCAGGGAAATAATCACAATATTATATCATTACAATGATAAAGTCTCGTTCTAATGGGATAAACAGCATCTTCCCGGGGGATTCCCCATCCCAGGAGCCACGTGCAGGACCAGCATGGACCCAGCTTACCCTGAGACAGAAATTTGGGATAATTCAACCTGGATTTTCAGTGGGAAGTCTCTGACTTCCACGTCCCACAGCAGCTCTCGGGAATGAAACCCTCGGGCCCAGGAAAAGAAAGTGCAAATGAAAACAGAAACACCAGTTTGGTTTCTGGAGGCAGAAATGAGCTCTTAGAGGATAAAAAATACATGGAAAAACCAGCAGAATTTCTGGGATTGGTCTGTCCCACCTCAGTCCTTTCCTGCCTCCTGGCAGCGTCCCGGTGACCACAGGGAGTCTCAGCAGCAGCAGCACGACATTCCCACCAGGTTTCACTACATTTAGGCCACAACCTCATCAATTAAACAGCAAAGCTGGACCCTCCCAGGACTGCAAACAACTCCATTCTTTCCTGGTCCTTCCCAGGAGGGCAAGGAATTCCATTTTCTCCTGGACCCTCCCAGGAGGGCAAACAGAGAGCTGCTCTGAGCAACAAACCCACCACAAATGTCCCCAGTGTGGGAAATGTGGAGGTAAAACCACACTTGTGTGAGAGAGAAGAGAAATATTCAGCCCTAATAAATCCCATTTCATTAGGACTTGGAATAAAAATTCCTTAGGACTTGGAACAGAAAGTTCCTCGGGACTTGGATTAAAGATGGGGATGCCAGCAGGGTGGTGACAGGACACCTCGTTCCCAAGGGATTTTATCCCATGTCAGCTCCTGATCCTCACTTTGCTTCTCCCTTTGGGATTTCAGAACCAGGATTCTCCACCATTCCCTTTTCCCAGCCAATTCCATCCTTTCCAGAGCCACCCCAGCTCCTCCAAACCCCCCATCCCCCCGGGGAGGTTTGGGATTCCACAACATCGTTCCACAATAAACCACCACCAGCTCTGAACTGTTCTTTCCAGTCTTTATTGGAAGTGCAAACCTCTGGGAAGAACAACTCCCTGCTGGAAGCTCCTCCAGGTGTAAGTTGTGTCCGCGTGGAGCCCCTGTGTGGGGTTCCAGGGGGGTCCCACGGGGGATCCACGGAGGTTACGCAGCCGTCGCCTTCTGCTTGTAGGTTGCCATCATCTTCTTGATCTCAGCGATGGCCTTGCCAGGGTTCAAACCCTAAAGGGAGGAGCTGATTAGTTCCTCTGGAAAACCTGGAGCATCCTCCCATCCTCCCTCCCCCTCATGCAGGTGGCAGTAAACTCCCAAACACACCACGAATGTGCTGCTACTCAGAAGCCTTTGGCAAAGGAGCTGCTCAACAACCTTTTTTATCCCTAAAAGTTGGAGTAAAATGTGACGTTGTGCTTCCTTTTACACTGGGAGGTTCCAGGATGGATCCCAGTTGGGGTAAATTCACAAATATGATGCTTCTTGTAACAATAATTGGCAGAGGAGCTGCTCAATATCCCTTTTTTTCCCTAAAAGCTGGAGGGAAATATGACACTGAGCTCCCTTGTCAAGGCTGAGAGGTTCCAGGATGGATTTAAGTCACAGTAAACTCACAAATGTGCTGCTACTCGACCTTTTTTCCCCTAAAATTTGGAGTTCAGTGTGATGATGTGCCTCCTTTCCAGCACTGGAAGTTCCAGGATGGATCCAAGTTGTAGTAAACTCACAAATATGCTGCTTCTCATAACAACAACTGGTGGAGGAGCTGCTCAACACCCTTTTTTTGTCCCTAAAAGCTGGAGGAAAATGTGATGTCGTGCTCCCTTTCAAGCACTGGGAGGTTCCAGGATGGATCCCAACTCCCAAATGTGCTGCTGCTCCTGAAAAGAGCTGGCAGAGGAGCTGCACAGCCCCTCTTTGCCCCAGAGCCTGGACTCCAGTCTAACTTAGGCTCCACCTGCAAAGCTGGTTGAGGAGGTTCAGGACACACCAAGGGCCAGCTGGGACACTGCCCCAGGCAGGCTGGGCATTCCAGGGAGGTCAGGCTGTGCTGACCCAGCTCTGCTCCACTGCAGCCTCTGTTTCCATGGAGCAGCCTGGAGCAGAGCTGGGAGCTCCCCTGGAGCAGCAGCACCTCCCTGGGCCTGGGCACAAACACCCCCTCGGCTCTGGAGCTGGCTTTGGTCAGCAGTGCCGGCATCAAAGGGGACAATGAGCCAAAGGGGACTTCAAAGAAGCTCAAGCAGGACTGAATTCCACATTTTTATGGGAGTCCTGGAGGCAGGAGACAGGCTTGGAGCAGCCTGGCAGGGATGGCACGAGGGAGGTGGAATTCTGAAATAAAAGCTGGGTGTGGAGGCACTGGGGGGTTGAACAAGGTCAGGGCACAACATGGAAATGCTCCAGCTGAGCTTCCCAAAGGTTCTCCTACAAAACAGGGGCACCCTTCACATTGCAAAGGTGCTCAGTCCTACAGCACTGGTGCCAAAGCAAGCAATCCTAAGCCCAAAATGAGAGGGGGATCCTGTGTGGGACAGGGAATGAGCAGGAATTACCCCTGGTGCAGATCCCACCAGGTCTTTCATGCTGATCAAGACAGCCAGGATTAGGAAATGTGAGTGGGAACGTGTTATTAACCATAAATCTGCCTCACATTTCAGCCCAAGTGCTGTTTCTCTACATTCCTACAAACAGCCAAGTCTTGGGTTTCACCTTCCCCTTTAGCTGAGCTCTGGGTCACACCAGATGGTGAGCCAGCTCCCTAAAAAGGGAGGAATTATGGGCTGTCAAGGAACCACTCTGGAAAAATACCCCCCTAAATGAGCCTGCAGTGCTCCTGACAGACACATCCACCCAAATCCCAGGCATCTCATCTTCTCCACACTTGTGATCCACTCAAACATTTCCCTACATTCCACAGCCCCGGGAATGACTCCACCACCAGGTGCAGGGAAAGGTTGTCTGGAAACCAGCAGAGCTGCTGGGAAAGCAGAACTCCAACAGCAGGGTCAGATGGGATATTGGGAAGGAATCCTTCCCTGGGAGGGTGGGCAGGCCCTGGCACAGGTTGCCCAGAGAAGCTGTGGCTGCCCCAGCCCTGGGAGTGTCCAGGGATGCTGCTGGAGCAACCTGGGCTGGTGGAAGTGTCCCTGCCCGTGGCAGGGGTGGGATGGGATGAGTTTAAGGTCCCTGCCAAGCCAAGCCGTGCCAGGACTGCCCCTGAGGACACACACCCACCTTGGGACAGGTCCTGGTGCAGTTCATGATGGTGTGACAGCGGTAGAGGGAGAAGGGGTCCTGTAGCTGTGCCAGGCGCTCCTCTGTGTAGTCGTCCCTGGAGTCGATCATCCAGCGATAGGCCTGGAAAACACAGGCACTCACACACCAGGGGGTTCCAACCATCTCCCACAGGAATTCTGGGCCAGGGTGGGATTAACACCCTCTGCCAACACGTCCTGGGGCCAGAGGGACCCCCCTCACCTGCATGAGGACAGCAGGGCCCAGGTACTTGTCCCCGTTCCACCAGTAGCTGGGACAGCTGGTGCTGCAGCAGGCACACAGGATGCACTCGTAGAGCCCGTCCTGGGGGGCACAGCACACTCAGCCCCTGCAGGGACTGCCCCCAGGGGCACTGCCCCACCAAAGGCCTCCCTCTGGAATCGGCACACGAACCTTCCCCCCAGGGGGCAAGTGCTGCTGGAGCAAAGCAACTGAAACAAGTCACACAAAATCCCCCCCCTAGCCTGGCCCACGACCCCCAGCTCGGGGCCAGCAGGTGGGATTTGATGGTCTTTGTGGGTCCCTCCCAACTCAGGACATTCTGATCTCATGCCCCACAGAACACAGCAGTGTTTGTGACAACAGGGGGAAATGCGGGACCCGGAGAAAAATGTGGAAGCTGCTGCATTTTCCTGCATTCCCTCCTTCCTTCCAGCCTGTCCCAGCGAGGGAAGGGACAGGCAGGTCACCAGTTAACAATTCCAGGCTGTGTTGGAGAAAGAAGGAAGAGCAAAGTCTGCCCAGGAGCCTCTGGGAGAGCTTGGAGCTTGTCCCTGAGAGCATCCCCAGGCACGGGAACGGTGCCAGGCTGCAGCCATCGCCCCGTTTTTACACACAACAAGGGCTTTTTCTTTCAGGCACAGAGGAGCACAAAGCCAGCCCTACACAGAAGTCATTCAGGTACTTTTTAGTTTTGCTTATTTCTGATTAAGAAAAAAAACATCACCCTGGACAGAAGAGAAACTGAGGAGCTGAGGGTCTCCAAAGTCTCTTGGTAGCTCTTCAACCCCCCCCAAACTAAAAGACAAGAGTCCAACCCAACTTCATTAAAGTATCTGGAAGTTATTTTGGAACAAAAGGCTCCTTAAATTCGGTTTTGGAAGATCCCTGATGCCAGAACTCCCAGCAGCTTAGAACAAGCCTCTGGAAGGCCTTGCCAAGAAGTAGGTCAGAGTTCTCTCCCCACTCCCAGATTTGTCTCATTTCTAATTGCACCATTTCGTAGGATTTACAGAAAAAGGTGGAATTTTTCAGCTGGCACCTTATCCAAGTTTGTCCTGCACACAAAGGAAGAGCAAGCTCAGCACTGAGATCAAAAGCAGGTTCCCCAGCTGTGCCAGGGGCTGAGGCAGCTCTGCCTTCCCTTCCAGCTTCCTCTGGTTCTCCTTGGAAGAGAAAGGGATTCCAAGGAGAGGGCAAACCCCTTCAGTCCTTACACACGGATCAGATAACGCTGGGAAGTGGTGAAGGAGAAGGAATTGTTGCCTTTGGATAGAGATTCTTCTCCCCTGTGGTTGTTAAG